TTCAAACATTATCATCAATAATCATCATCTAAGGTTTATCAAGATTCATCAGCAATCATCATCCAAGGTTCAGCAAATCAAGCTTATTCATCAATATTCTACGTTCAAGATTCATCTTCTACATTCATTCATCATAAAGATTAATCATTAAGCTTGGAAGCTAATGAGATTAAAGGAGTTTATCCTTGAAGTTTTCTGCATTTCACTTCGACACTCCGATTTTCAACACTAACCGGAGAAAACCTCCGTCCTGTCGGTAATCTTCCATCTCTTCCAAACCCTTTCCATGAATTATTGGATGTTTGCTTGATGATTAATTTAAGTTATTGTAGTGAATTAGCTCATTGAAATAATCACTTATTTTAACACGAGATACAAACTTGAAAATAGTGTTTTTTTAATTCTTAACTATTAATAACATGTGAATATATCATTAGAAGCGATTTTTCGTCACAATTCTGAATATGTGATTACTATTTCACGAACCATTATAACAAATGTGAATCGATCGATTATTTATGCATTTTGTTCTTCACCTTTTCGCCAGATTCTTCAAAATTTGTGGCTCATTTGCAAAATTCGATCGCATATTTAGATTCCTTGCAAAAAAAAAAATTGACTACGGTGATATATATTTTGCACATATTTTATTAGATTTGTTAATTTTGGTTGATCAAATTCAAGAACTATGAACAATTCATGAACAAATGCATAAACCAAAAATGTACAGAATTGTGACACGTGTCCTACTGGCTTTTGCTTTATTTTCCCTTTCTCTCTCTCTCTGTGCTACGTGGCGCATTCCTATTGGATCAATATGTGAGAATAAGACAAAACAGACAAAATGACAAAATTGTTGATCACATGCATGTATGTGTAGTGTGTAACAAGAATCAAGGCCATCAGATCTTCAACATTTCCATCCGATAGACCACGTCCTTTTCCACGTAGACTATGGATCATTGACTGTTGACTATGCTAATTTTTTTGTTGATTAGGCTCATGGACCATTTTTGGCGCCCAGATTGGACCTTTTTACTGCCAACACTCTTTATGGATCATACACCCCCTATTGAATTAATTAGTAATCAATTCATTTTTTTGTTTTTTTAATTTCTTTTGCCAAACTTTTTCTACATTTAATCCATGTTTAAATACATTTAAAAAATAGTTTTTTACACATTGCAATATATATAGAGAATATAGATTTCCTTTGGTCATTTTAAAAATAATATTTCTTAGATTAGATATTAATTAGTCTTTAATTGAATTTTTGTCACATTTTTTTTGTTTTCAATTAAATTCATAGAATTTAGGATATTCATGTTAATTCCTTTTTTCATGCTATTTTCTTTTTTTATTATTTTTATTTTCTTTAATTCATTTGTCATATTTATAGCACGTTTTAATGCATAAAAATTTATTTTAAGCCTATTGAAAAAAATAACACATGATTTGACTTTAATTAGGAATTAGTTGAATTAGTCTTAATAATTAGTTCTTTTGATTTTTCTTTAAAATTTATTAGAATATGATAATTCTATTTTTATGCTTCTAGGCTTCAAATAAAATTCATCTGCTTATGATTCATATCCTGATCATCTCCTTGGTTGATTAATTGATCAAAGTCAGCTTTGATCAATTAATCATGTGACATTTATTTGCTTCCCCTGTCCAGTCAGATGACCATCCACCTCTTGATCACATTATGGGATTAGCCATCTACATTGGCATTGCACTGGACCTATCAAGCCAAATTCAAGAGCAAGCTCCACCTTCAAGACTTTGAAGACTTTGGACCTCAACGTTGGATCAATGTTTCATCATTCAAGCATGACAAAAAGATTCTTCTTTCAACGCTTATCAGTTATGATGCAAATTGTGCACCACGAGGCTTAAGCAACAAAGAAGAATGAGAATGATTTTTCCTATCATTGTTCTGAGTACCTTTGAATACATAACGTATGCCCGAGTTATTCAAATTATATGTCTTCCTTCATAGACTTTAGTGTGATTCAAATCAAATAAGAGTCAAGTCTTCTTCCCCACAGACCACACTTCAACAATCAACATCAACAATACTCTTCTCTTTGGATCAAACATTGCATTCTCTTTGACATCCGTATATTCTTTGGGTTAATCAGCTCATGGTTAAGCACTCATCTCTGAATCAATGTCCATCATGCATGTCTGCCTTGTTAGTGTCATGTTTAGGAAAACCCCTTATGCTTAAGAAAATCTGCCTTGTTAGTCTCATGCTTAAGCAGAACCCTTCTTCCTTTTATATTTGTCTTATAAGCTTCATGCTTAGGAAAATCCTTTCTTCATGCATGTCTGTCTCGTTAGTTTCATGCTTAGACTGACCATTTCATACTTGCCTTGTTAATCTCATGCTTAGGCAAGCCTTTTTCATGCATGTTTTCCTTGTTAGTCCCATGTTTAGCCAAACACCCCTTCTTATAGGTATTAATCCCCGGATATGGACAAAATCCTACAGTTATGCATTGGTCACGTCGTCAACTGGTTAACGTCACACTCTTTGATTCAGATACACCTACTCTATGGATCCAACAATACAATCTTGGTTCAAACAATACTTTCACTACACCTCAACAACCCTTTCCTCATTTCACAACACTCTTTTTTCAAACTGTTTTTCTTTTAATTTTGTTCAATTAATTGTTTCCTTTCTTTTATAACACAAACATTTTCCAAAACCATTTCCTCTTCTTTTCATTAAAGAATTGTTATAATATGTTCCTTAGCAGTCAGACTAAAAGCTTGGAGCATCCGAACAAGGATCAAGTTAGCTAATATCTACACACTTCTAGAATACAGTTATAACTATTCCCTAAAAACAACCAACACATCAGTATTTTCTACCATGAACTATGCAGCTCTGATTTTCTCATTGCACTATGAGAATACATAGGCACGAGGGTTCAATTCCTTGACGAGCACGCTAATTTAAAAACTTATGTTTGCCCTTTTGCAAGTACCTTTTAGATAGTAACACCCATTAGCGCAAAGAACAATCAAAATGGTTCTGGTTGAGTACGACGGATGTGAGGGATGATAATACCTACCCCTCGCATAACCGATTCTCTTACCCATTTCTCTTTCCCAATAGTTTTATCAATATTTTTTATTTTCTTTTGGAATAAAAAATTTCGGTCGCGACTTTGTTGTATCATCGAGCGTGCGATGCGCTCGGGTATTTTTCGCGCCACAATAGAACAAATGTATTTTTGATCCCGGTTTGGTGTTGATGAAACTACGTCTAGTCTACCCGCCTGAGTGATTTCACCTTATTAATAAGGACTTAATCCAATAATCAAATCGATTACAACAACTCAAAGACACACAGTCTAAGACTTCTTGAAAAATTATGAATATACCCTAGTCTCTCAAAATAATACAACTCAAAGACTAATTGTCAATGACTTCTTGAGAATTCAGACTAAACTTAGTCTCTCAAGAAAATTAACGAAAGGTTAAAATAGACAAGGTTTGTGTTTACAAGTTACTACAAAAAGCAGATACAGAAGTTAAATCAAATATTACAATTAACAAAGATATTCAAAGATGTTCTTAGTGTATACATGTGAGAAACACTTCTTTTATTTTTCTCTTTCACGTATGTTCTTTGAGTGTAAGTGTTGCTATGCAATTTTCCAAGACCTCTTTATATAGGAAGAAATAGATCCGTTGGAGGATGAAGTTAGAATATCCTCAATGTAATAGTTGTATGAAGATCACTTCATGTTGCAACATTAGAATGACACTTGTAGCAGGGAGTTGGTAAGGATGATACGACGAGAGAAACTTTGTTGGTACAAATTACAATACTTTACATAGAAAATAGATTTGCTTTTGTACTTCTGTCACATCAATCAACCGACCTTTGGATTTAACCTTCTAGTAAAAGGCTTTGTATACTAGTTGATGAAACTTGAGTAGAGTTCAAAGTTTGTCTTCAGAACTTGGTAAAACTTTAAAGTTTATTGAGTTCAGAGTTCTGAGACTTTTATATCCTCGTAGTCATAGTCTATCTAGATAGTTTCTTTTGTCGAAACATTGACTTGATAAATCATAAGCTTGACTTCCAAGCAAACACACTTTTATTTGATTCTTTGGTTCGGAGTCTGGACATCTTAAGAGCCAGAATCTATTTCTTATTATCTGCACACTTAGCAAAATAATTAGAGGACAAAATTGTTCTCTACACTTTATTATCATCAAAATTCAAGGATAGTTGAAGAAACAAACTTGCTCCAATACGACGTAGTTCTAAACCACATTGAAAGATGTTCAAGGCACCGACAACTAGAGACACATAAATTGTTCCCTCCAAACGAGAAGATGTTTTACATTCAAATCAGAAGCTGAAGGCAACCGAACAAGAAATTAAGGTTTTTTTTCCTCTAACATACCTTACTTTCTTCATCTTTAGAGAGTTTCGACGAGGATGAAGATATCTCCTTCTGAAACGCCTTCATCAGAAGAATCAATGAGTTCTCCATCAAAAGGGAGCTCCATAAATCGTTAAGAATGGGAACTTATGATAAAAACAACTAATCTTGACAAACACGTGGAACATATCTGAACTTTACAGGGTCAAGAGGCCCCGAAAATGCAAACAAGGCCCCGAGAAATGTAAACTATTTGTCCTTAACCTAATAGCAGGGGAAATACCCTGGTTTAGAGGGATAAGAAACAGACCAATCGAATCAAAATTTTGATTATTTAGTATAAGAAAATACAAAAGGAATCAAATGAAGAATCTTATTATAATCTGTAATGAAAAACTGCCAACATGAAAAGATTTTCTGATAAATGTTTGAAGCTAACAAAATTTATACTAAAACTTATTCCAACCACTTGCAAAAAACAAAAAATGAAGAACATTAACTAAGTCTATGCTTGGAAACGACAAAAATCACGTTGAAAACGTACGTTCTCAGAAATCATGGAATGCGATAACTAAAAGATGTTCCAACTCAAACTGATATATCTTTGCCAAAGAGATTGCTAATTCCCTTTGCTGGATCACTTTGTTTCACAATAGACTCTCCCACCAAAACCTGTAGAAAATTTCAGCTTATTTTCATAAGCTCTTTAAGATAGCTTTTGAAAACAGATAGTAGCTTATATAAAAAGTTGACTTCATAATCATAGAAATGAAAATTATCAATACTTACAGCTCTAACTCCTGCTTCTTGTACATAGGCAATATCATCAGGAGTGAACAAACCAGACTCCCCTACCATCTAAACAAACCATATAATCATCAGTTCAAATAAAATTTCTTTAAAGTTAAAACAGACTAAAAATTCTTTGAGCACGTACGATTATGTTTCTCTCGCGGATTATTCTTCCTCGCTCTCCTTCGAGAAGCTTCTTCGTGGTGCTGATATCTAACTCAAATGTTTCTGCAAGCAGAAAAAAATAGGAGCCATAATTGATTATTCAAATCCTTAAGTTTAAGTATTCAGATACTGACGTGCAACAAAAGAATAGGGTTGATGCAAAATACCAAGATTGCGGTTGTTGATGCCGATAAGCTGAACGCCCTCTATTCCAAGAACACGATCAAACTCCCTTTCGTCGTGCACCTACATTAAAACAAAAAAATCCAAAAGAAAAATATAAACCCAAGTTTCGACACAAATAAGAAACATGGCATACAGATTGAGATAAAGAATTCTTTGCACGTCGGACGTCATTCAGATAAGCGCAAGAGATAAAGAAGCAATGGCCTTACCTCGACAAGAGCGGCCAGTCCGAGTAATTTACATATCTTAACCATGTACTCGAGGTCAAGATCAGGTAAAACAGCTGCAATTAAAAGGACTGCATCTGCACCTTTTGATCGAGCATAGTAGAGTTGCCAAGCATCTACGATGAATTCTTTGCACAACAAAGGACACTGCATAAATTTTCTAGTATCATCAGCATGATTTACATGAAGCATTCCACGGTAGAATAAATCTTATACCAAGGATTAATGTGATTCGCTAAGCAAACCTTTACTCCAGCATTTCGTATTAACTCGAGATTTTCAAAGCTTCCCTGGACAAGAAAACCAAGTTCAAGTTAGAGTTAGTTAGCATTTATCAGCGCTCAATTTGTAAGGACCTTTTATTGCATTTGCAGTTAGTGAGTTTACCTTAAAGTACTTTTCATCTGTTAAAACACTTAGACATGCTGCTCCGCCTTTCTCATAAGATCGAGCAATTTCAACCTGTAAGAGAGAATCCGTTAAACATTGGCTTACTCCATGGAGAGAAGAAATAAAAACTGACGACGGTGTTGAATTCAAACTTACTGGATCAAAGTTTTCTCTCAAAATGCCTCTACTTGGCGAAGCCTTCTTCACTTCCGCGATCAATCCAGGCAATCCAGTTCGTCCATTTGCCGCCCTAAGAGCCCCGATAAAATCTCTAACCGGAGGGGCATTTTCAACAGCCTTCTTAACCAAACCAAGAGGTTTTCTTTCTTTTAGCTGAAAACCAAATAGTTTGCATTATCCCAAGCTATAGTTTTCATGAAAAATACATGTCGAGAAAAACTCAATAGAACAACAAGGCAGATCAAATACAATACTTGGGCAACTTCTTTGTCCTTGTTCCACACAATCTCTTCCAAGATGTTACGCGGCGTGTTTTCCTCGTTCTGCAACCGGAATTGAAAAGGTCCTTCGTAATGAGAAGGAGGTCCGGTCGGTGGTTTTCTCCTTATTCTTATACCTTGGTTAGCAGCAACCTCATTTTGAAACATTCCTAGTTCCCATTGCTTAACTTTGAGAGCTTCAACCACAGATTCACTAGATGTGGCTATTGTAGTTGAGCCTTCATTATGGTTCACCTAATATAAAACATCAAATAATCTCAAAACTATGAAACACGGCCACCCGAACACAACCATGACAGCGACACCGATAAAAGTTTCAAATTTTGAATAATTTTAATGTAATTACAAGTGTCAGTGGTCCAACGTCCACAGAGACACCTATTCATTTTTTCAAAGGTGTCGATACTATAAAATCTCAAAAGTATGATAAAATTCCAAAAGGGATCCTCTTAATCAAACCAAAATAAAAAGACATAGACTCATATAAATGTACAAGAAGAAAAACTAATATAATACAAAAAAGACAGAAAATTTGCATGAAAAATATACCTGTGCTCGAAGAGAAAAAGTAAAAAGGGAGTTTTTTCTGTAAGTATTCACTTGAGTTGGAGGAATCGTGGTTCTGGATTTGGATGAGAATGAAGGGAAAGACTGAATGTGACCCTTGAGAGAAATCAGGGATTCCATTGAAAAGGGTAATGGGAATTGTGAAAATTGCACAACAATAAGAAAAAGATGAAAAATTGAAACTGAAGGACTGTGTTGTGTTTGAATTTACATACGAAGCAAAACTGTCGGTAAAGGAAAAATGGTTTTGTTCCGTGGTCTTACGCCTTTTGGTTTGGATTTCACATTGTTCATGCATTTTCTGTGAAATTGATTTGGATTTCACAATTTGTTCATGCATTTTCTCTGAAACATTGAACTTGGAAAAATTTATGGGATGGAAACCACTTTTAATAAATTTCTATTGAAAAAAACAATTTAAAAATTAATTTTATATTTTAATTTAAGTTTGTACACAATTTTTAAGATGATATTTTTTGATTTAGTTCTTAATATGTGTCTCAAGGGCACAAGTTAACATTACCCTTTAAAAATTACATAAAAGTTAGTCAATTAAGTCTCATTTAAAAATAAGGATACGGGTTAGGTAGGTAAGAGAATATTTATTCAAATTACTACTTTCTTATTAGTATTTTAATTTATATTTAAATAGAAATATAATATATATTTAAGGATAATACTAACTGGGGCACAAATTAAATAATCTATTTATAAGTTTGTATTGGAAATAATAATTAAAAAATTATTTTATATTTTTATTAAATTTATTCTTTCCATTCTTATTTATAAGTAAATTTTAACATTTAAATTCATTAAGTAATTAATATATTTAATCTACATATATAGTCCAAATACATCATTTATTGAATATCTAAGAAGTAAAAATTTGTTTATAAAAGAAAATAGAGGAAATAATACATAATTTATAATACAATATTTTTTAATTTAATTTTTAAGTTATGTCTCAAAGACACAAATTAGCATTATCCTACATTTAATTATATATATATATATATATATATATATATATATATATATATATATATATATATATATATATATATATATATATATATATATATATATATATATATATATATATATATATATATATATATATATATATATATATATATATATATATATATATATATATAATACTTCCTTTTTTATATAATTTTATTAAATAATTAATATATTTTGGTTAAATATGGATCAAATACCCTTTTTAGTGAATGAATCTCGTGTGTGTGTGTGTGTGTGTGTATATATATATATATATATATATATATATATATATATATATATATATCCCTCCACAGGAGTTAACAATCATGGCTCATGGCTCATATAGCATAATTATCCCCTGCATCATAAGTAAGCAGTGGATTATTCTAGTCCGATATAGCATAATTATCTCCTGCATCATAAGTAAGCAGTGGATTATTCTAGTCCGAAATGCAGGTGATTTTGATTCAAGATCAATCACAAGGATCTTCGCATTCCACGTTAATAGAATAACAAGTGGTTATAACCATCGTGCTATATAAGAGGGAGTATACACTTTTGAATTCAAATTTCATTAATATATCTTTCACACATACTGACTTGAGCGTTTGATTGTTAACCTTGCAAGTCAGCCCCTTTTCCACCATATCGGAATCTTAAGTCCACATTCTTATCCATATTTATTAATTATCGATCAATTCTCGTTCCCTCGCGAAACAATGGTGCATTATGTGAGAATTGACCTGTGATTATCGCGTTTTTCACGTTTGAACATTCATCTCTCAATTCACTGAACCCAACTCAACCTAGAAATTTAGATTTCTTGAAAAATCAATTAGCATTAGGTTCTCAAAAACTCAGCTCGAAGGATCTTCTTAGCCATGGCAGACCCTTTTGCAAGTACACCCTCACAGCCCTCATGTATGGATCTTATGATCGCGTTTGCTTCGTGTTTATCCACGTATCTGAGCAACACAGAGTCATAATTCCTTTTATACAGTACACAACCACTCAAGAAGAATTTGGCGCAAAGCCTTCTGAGAGCCTTCTTGTCAGTGGTAGTGATACCCCCAGGATATTCCTGTTTTTCCAGATGTCTTTTGATGTCATAGAACTAAGGTTTATCATCAGACTTGTCCTCGATTGCTAAATAATGTGCTGGTTCGTTCCAATGATCAATGCGGATAGCAGGAGCATCGTTCTTCCACTTGACTTTGAACATAGATGTCAGGGTGGCGATAGCATCAACTAGCTGATTCTCTTTCTTAGGAATATGATAAAAAGTGATTTCATCAAAATAGGGAATCAATTTCGCGATGTGCTTTTGATATAGAACCAACTTGGAATCATGAGTCTCAAAATTTTCTCTGACTTGACCAATCACCAGGGCTTAATCCCCATAGACCTCAAGAATCTTAATTCTCATGTCAATGGTCGCTTCAATTTCGTAGATACATGCTTCGTATTCAGCCATATTGTTGGTGCATTCAAAGCATAATATGGTGGTGAAGGGAAGATGAAAACCTGTCAGAGAGATAAGGATAGCACCAGTTCCACGACCTCGAGCATTGGAGGCACCATCGAACCCGATCGTTCTTTGCGCCCCTGGTTCGGGTCCTATGTCAGGGTCTGGAGTTTCATAATCTCTGATAAACAGAACGTCCTAGTCTGGAAAGTCAGACTTCATTTGTTGATAACCCTCTACAGGTTGATGAGCAAGGTAGTCAGACAAGACACTCCCTTTTATAGCTTTCTGGGTAACATGCTGGATCTCATACTTAGTTAACAGCATTTTCCACCGAGCAATTTGTCTAGAGAAAGCAGGCTTTTCGAATATGTACTTTATCAGATGCATTTTAGATATCAATAAAGTAGTATGGCAAATCATATATTATCTTAGGTGTCGAGCGGCCCAAACCAGAGCACAACAAGTTTTCTTCAATAGTGAGTATTTGGTCTCACAATCGGTGAACTTCTTGCTCAGATAGTAAATTGCGTGTTTTTTTTCAGCCACTGTCGTCATGCTGACCCAATACACCGTCCATAAATTCATCAAGAATAGTGAGATAGATGATTAAAGGCCTACCAGGAACCGGTGGTACTAAGATCGGTGGTTCTTCCAAATATTTTTTTATTTTTTCAAATGCTTCTTGACAATCATTGTTCTATTTAATCGATTGATTTTTTCTTATCAATTTGAATATTGATTCACAAGTAGCCGTCAAATGAGAAATGAATCTGGAGATGTAATTAAGTCATCCCAAAAAGCCTCAGACTTCTTTTCAGTTTTGGAAGGTGGCATGTCTTGAATTGCTCGAACCTTGTTGGGATCAACTTCTATGCCTTTCTGACTGACAATAAAGCCTAATAGTTTTCCAGATCAAACTCCAAAGGTGTATTTTACAGGATTCAACCATAGCCTAAACTTTCGGAGTCTGTCAAACAGTTTCCTCAGATGGTCCAAGTGATCATCTTTAGTTTTGGACATGACAATCATATCATCCACGTAAACTTTAATCTCTTTATGGATCATATCGTGAAAAAGGGTTGTCATAGCACGCTGATATGTTGCCCCTGCATTTTTCCGACCGAATGGCATGACTTTGTAGAAATATGTACCCCAAGGCATGATGAAGTTGGTCTTCTCCATATCAGCTGGGGACATCTTGATCTGATTGTACCCTGAGAAACCGTCCATTAATGAGAAGACAGAGAACTGCTCAATATTGTCCACCCATACATCAATATGAGGCAGACAAAAATCATCTTTCGGGCTTGCCTTATTGAGATCTCAATAATCCATACACATCCTGACCTTCCCATCTTTCTTATGAACTGGGGCGATGTTAGCAACCCATTTAGGATATTAGGAAGTGGCTAGGAACGCAACATCAAACTGTTTATCTACCTCTTATCTAATCTTAAGTGCCATGTTGGGTCTGGTCTTTCTGAGTTTCTGCTTGACAGGAGGATATTCGAGATTGAGTGGCAAGTGATGTTCAACGATGTTGGTATCCAACCCAGGCATATCTTGATAAGACCAGACAAATATATCAACATATTGTTGCAATAACTTGACCAACACGAAGTGTATATGCTTGGGGAGAGATGCCCCAACTTTGACTTCTTTTCTGACATCATTAGTACCCAGGTTGAGGACTTCCACTGGATCTTTGTGTGGCTGAATCTCTTTCTACTCATGCTCAAGGAGCCTTGCTAGTTCAGCCGGTAATTCACAATCTTCCTCACCATCTTCTTTGGCTTGATTAATTGGAATCCCAGAGTTACAATGGATGTTTGTCATGTTGTTATAAATGCATTTATTTTCTCTGCATGTTTATGAATTTTCTTAGAATGACCTATTTGAAAGGTGAAAATAAAAGAAACTTTTGTCATTTGTTATTTTTTTTGTGAAAAATAAAATAAAGAAAGGAAAAGAGCATGATTTAAATGCAAAAAAAAAACTTGTATTTATTAATAACATAATACGTCAAAAGCGGGAGAGCCCTTTACAAGCTATCCTCTTGTCTTGGGAGAGGACGAGGGACCAGGAAAGCAAAATGCATTACATGTTTGTAGGAAAGACCATGGGAACCATGGTAGATGTCCAATTGTTGAGCTTGAAACCCGATGGACACTTGCCTACAAATCTTTCATTCTGGTTGCTAGGACCAACATCATCAATGATAACCACAATATCACCTTTTTGAAAACCAGCACTATTGAACTTGATCAGATTGCACTTTCTTTGACCACGTGAGCTGGCTTGTTGATCAGGATGATAACCCAGTCCAAAACGATCATGTTTCTCTATCACATCCAACACATGCCCCCAACCAGGAAGAGCGTCTTTCTCAAGAGTTTCTCTTGCACTCTTGGTAGATGAAATTGTCACTTCTGGTGATCTGCTTTGATTGATAGAAGTGGAGTTGACATCTTCGAATTCAAGACATTGTAATGGCACCTCACATATCCCCTAATCAGTCTCGACATATCGGAAGGACGATAACTCGCTTACTAGCAAATCCTCTTCACCGCAGACAATAATCAATTAGTCGTCATACATGAATTTGAGCTTCTGATGCAATATAGAGGTAACTACCCCAGCGGCA